CTTGACCATTATCCTTGCACCCTCCTCCCTGAAAAACCTTAGCTAGGAAAATTCAACCCAACTCGTATATTCACACCATTCATTGGCGGAGGCCTCGCTTTGATAACCAATTTATTTAGCTGATTGCCAGTAAAATCAATGCCCGAAAGCTAAACCAAAATTGGAGGTGGTCAAGCCACAAAAGCACCACCTACCTACCTTACCTACCTTACCTGCTGCTGCTACCTTGTGGGAACCCCCGTTTTTATTGGGCAACAACAAAACCGTTTTGATGATGTGCCAGACTGCCGAGTGGCCAGTGACCAGTGGCTGAGTGAGTGCGAGTACAGAGTGCGAGTATTTTGGAATACAATTCGAGACCATAATTACATTTATTGCAATACAAAAGCGCACTCACCGCCAGAGGAGAAGGGGATCTTTGACAGGTTTTGGAGGGGGGGGGGGAGGCGGGGGGAGGGGGATGGGGAGGAAGTTGGTGTCCAGGGGAAGTTTGCCGAACGGAACATGCATTGACAGATGGACAAAAGGTTGGAGGGAGTGAGGAGACATGTCGTCACGCTTCGTTGGGCAGACATGCAGTGGACATTGGTCTCTATTCCATGGTTATGGGGTAAGGAAAATGCAACGGGTATAGGCACTGAAAGGTATCAGTAAAGGGAAGATATTCATTATAAATTACCTTTTAAAAAATATTAAAGAAATGTTTCCTAAAGAAAGGTTTTTAGGAAGCTTAACTGTGAAATACTTTATTTACTATAAATTGTTGCAATAATTAAGCAGGAAATTAATTTTTGACTCTTAAATTTGCACTTAAGAATAACCCCTTAAAACCCCATAGATCTCTTCTTAAGAATAACCCATTAAAACCTAATAAATCTCTTACAAAAATGATTATTTCTTAGCTTAATGTTAAGCTCTTTATTTTCTCAGTGCACGATTCACGATAATTGCCACAATTTGCTTGTTGCGTGAATGGACAGACGGAAAAGTGCCTGCGATTACACACATAAAAAAAAGGGGAAGGTTTCTCCCCTCGGCAAAAAAGGGTGCAAAAAGGACAACTTCCGTTGGCTGGACACGGGCACACACACATTGAGTACATTGAATACATTGCATATATGCTTTTATGTAGGGTCTTTTTTGTCTTATGTCCGCCTTGTGTCATATTTGAGGTGAGCATAAAGCCACTCAACGCCGCCATAAATCAACTGCACTCTGATCTAAGGCTGTCAGCGTGGAGGAGACACCAGACAGTGCGACTGAGCGACAGATAGCGACCAAGAAACAACAAAAGTAACAAAAACATAAATGACTAATGCAAACCGAAGATGGAAATACCTTAAAAAATATAGTAAAAAATATATATATAACATATAGAATGGGTAGTATAAATATTAAGCTCTGAACTTCTATGTTATGTTATTTTTCTCCAGTAATTCTAAGTGATTTTCAAATTATAAGACTCTCTATAGTCATATGCATTTTTTGAGATTGTATGCATATAGGCTCGAAGTCCACTTGATTTTTCCCTCCAGCCTTAGTTAATATACCCTCTAGAAGAGCATTTCAGCTTTAGCGACAATGACGACAAGTTTAGCCCATAACTTTCCAGACGACAAACAGACAACATCGCCGTGTTGTCGTCGTGGCTGATGTTGATGTGAATGTCGATTGCCATGTCTGCTGCTCTTTGGCTTGGGGTTCCTATGGATGTGCGGCTTGGCTTTAGCTTTTGGCTATATAGTAGCCTCAACTCGTTCTGGGTTCTGGGTCTCCGTTTCTCACACACCGCCGAGAAGAAGAAGGCTTTCCAGGTCGCCGATGCCTTTTTGTGGGAATGCACCTGAGCTTTGGGGCTCGCCTGGTTTTTATTTTTTAGTTTTTTTTGTTTGTGCTTTGTTGGAAGTCTTCAACCGACTTCGACTTTGACTTGTGTCTAGACTGCAGACGGTAAAAAGGAAACAACAGGAAACGCCAGCAGACAACAGACGGGCAGAGGCAGACCTCTTTGACAGCTCAAACAACTGAAACGAGCCGACGACGACGCTCGACAAAAGGCAACAAAAGCAAGTTGCAACCTCGATTGCACAACTGCAACAGCAGCAGCAGCAACAGCAGCAACAGCAGCAGCAACATTGCAGCTAAAACGGCAACATCCAAGGTATTGGGCAAACATTGCCAAACTGCGCGAACAATTCTCAGCTGTCAATAATATCTGTCAGCGTTGTCGTTTATATTCTAGCTGCTTTTGTTTCCATTTCTTAGGGTTCTTTTGTCTTTTGTTTCTAAAATATGTCATCTGTCTGAAATGGAGACTATCCTGAAGTTGAGAGAAGTCTGGAGAGGAATGGGGTTAGTAAGAAGAAAGAACTATGTAGATATATGGAAAAATTGATTGTTCTTAAGATCATGAAGCATAGTGTTTATGATACCTTATAAATATCATTGTATACCGGCTTATTCTTAAAAGTATCTTTAAGGCATTTGCATTATATCTTCTTTTTTGACATTCATATCCCATATATCCCATAATTTCATCAGAGAACCACCACATCTTTGACCCACTTTTCCATATTTTTCTTAAGCATTTTTCCTTACCCAAAAGAGTCTAAAAATCGCATACCCTACTATAGGTTATACTCTATTTTATGCTCAGGCGGCAACTGTAATTCGTTTTAGTGAATTAAACAGCTTAATTAGTTTAACTCGAGTCGTCGAGACTGGGAGAGAGAGATTCCGGCCAGTGATTTGGCAGTTAGTTCAGGACATTGCATTCCTGTCTGTCTGGGGGCTTTCCCTCCCTCACCGCCCCCCTTCGTCTATCTGGCTTTTGGGTGTACGAATACGGGTATGAGTATGAGTATGAGTATGGGTATGAGTTGAGTATGAGTATGAGTATCTACTGCTGCTGGCAGGCATTTAGTCCGACTTGATGTCGTTGTCGTCGTTGTGTTTAATTATTCAAAACCATGTCATGTCTCTGTATAATTTTATGCATTGGCCAATCCAAGCGCCACGATGAAAATGATGATGATTACGAACCATGATGATGATGATTGCCAGCAATGATGATTATGATGATGACGCCTACACAGAGGCGAAAGAGGTAAACGCCAGACAGCTGACACCGAAACTATAGTTACACTGAAGGGAAAAGCATTTAAAAACTTGACAAATTGAAAAATTGATATAATATTTATCTAAATAGTACAAATATTATCAAGAAAATATTGGAATCCCATCATATGAACATTTTAAAGCAAAGCAGAATTGCTGAACTAGTCATCTCATAAAAGGACTATATGTGTTACCGAACGTCATACTATTTATCTATTGCTTTTATTATAAGAGTGATATATTTCACATTTTATTAAAAAAAAATATATTAAGTTAATATTATAATTTTGCATTTTAAAATTATAAATAACTCCTAAGCAAAACTTGTTATTAATCTTTATTTTTAAAGTGTAAAACTACAACTATCTTTCGACAACGCCACATGTGGCAAAGACAGCAACACCGCAATACAGACGGAGACGGGGCGACGTCCGTAGAGGGAGACAGTGGCCAGGGGGAGGGAGTGAGATGGTAGAAGAAAGAGAAAGAGAGATAGTGTATGACAGAGATAGAGCGAGAGCTGGCTGCATTGGCAAAGTGGCATACCAGACAGTCTGACGCTGTTGGAGCCCACGAATGGCCCCAGTTGCCGCTCCTTCCACCTCCAATCCCTCCCTGCTGCTGCTGGCCAGATCTTGCCGTCTGGACGAGCACAGCGACAACAACAACAATAATAACAACAACAATAATAATAACAACACGACTAACAACAACAACCATCGACAACGACCACGACCACTGTCTGTGGCAGACCGAGACTATCGAAAACTCGAAATTTATTCGTTGGAAAAAGTTGATTTCTGTCGCCTCTTTTTTGCTGCACGCTTTTTATATTTTGTTGTATTTTATATTATTATTTTTTTTGGTTGAGGCATATGAATAGGATTGAGGGATATATGGGATAAGATACATGAAGAGATTCATTCAGCAATTTGAATATCACATTAATAAAATAAAATATTGAATCAAGAAAATGTTCATTTTATAGGACATTTAATGACATATTATATAAAACATTATTAGACCTGTCCATATTTTCTTGTTATATTAATTCGGTTCACCATAATCACTAGTTTTCTAAGTATAGTTATTAAAAACTGAGTGATCCTTAAGTTCATCACACTTGAGACAGCTTCATTTTACCACTTATTTTCTACAAGTTCAATCCCTCTCGTTTTTCCTGGCCTGTCTGTTGTTTCAACCGTCGTATAAAAATAAAGAGATGCCCACGAAAATTATGTTAACCAGCCAGCTGTGTTAAAAATCCCACATCATATCTATAACCCTCAAGCCCCTTGCCCTTCCTGTCATTTTTCCGGCTTTTATTTTTTCTGACGACAAATGTTCAGATATGTTGTCAATACTGAAACATTGTACTGTAATTTGTTTCAGGGGCTTCCCCTCCCTCTCTACCTTTAAGATAGTAACTTGTAGTTTTTAATAAGAATTGTTAAATTAAAATATATTTTACTGGATTTTGATTGTTTGTTTTATGGCATTATAGGGAAAACATACATTTGTATACGGATTTTAAAAAAATATATAAAGCAGACTAGACTTATTTCTAAGGCATGTATTGACATGACGCAAATCTCATATTATTTATACTAAAGGTAAGTATAGTCAAGAAATTAAGTAAAGCTTGAATGCTAAATAAATTCACCTAAAACACACATTTAAGAACTGTCATGTATATATTTATAAACCACCCAATATATGCATAAACATAATATTGTATGCATGGAGTCCATTAGTGACCACCTTCACGGTATTTTCTTAATTCACTTAATCATAAGTTATCTTTACTCCTGTCCCTATACCTGTAATTTTTCAATCTAAAGGCTAATGGTTTTAACTCGTTTTTTTTTGTATATAAATATTACCTACTCACCGTATTTCTGCCAGAAGGTTTCTTTGCTGCCCACACTCGACTTGGTTTTCAAATCGAAATGGGAGTGGGGATCGGAGTTGGAGTTGGAGTCGCCTGAGGAAACCGAATCCTCCACTTCATAAACTTCCGTGTAAAGTATGAACTCCAGTCGCGATCTTGGCGTGCTGGTTGTTGATGTTGGATGCTGTGGCGGGGTCAAAGGTGATGCAGTGGTCGCTGTTTGGGCTGTATCACGTTTGCGTTTAAAAATACGATGCACATGTGGCAATGTAGTTGATGTTGCTGCTTGTGTTGCTGCTGCAGATTGCTGCAACAATGTAGCACGTTGATTAATTTGATATGGCAAATGCATAGACGCGGGCGCTGCGGATGCAGACTGCGACGCGACGCGACAACGACAACGACAACGACAACAACGACAACGAAAACAACAACGCGGCCAACAACGATGATGACGATAATGACGATGACAATAATGACGATGACGATATGGACAGGAGGAGCGATGGCGATGGCATAGGGATCGCCGGTTTGTATGAATATTTGTCTCGGCACTTGGACTTAAGTGGCAATCCGCACTCGATGCTGGTAATTTATTTTGCAAATTTGTGCCAACAGCGAGAGGCGGCCTCTGTGGCTGTGGCTGTGGCTGCGGCTGCGACAGCTCCCTGCTCGGAATTAAATTTAACTTACGCGTATTATTTGCACTATTTACACTGCACAAAATTGCACTACTACCACTATTTACACTTGTTGCACCTGCACCTAGAACACTGCTCTCACTTTCGCCGCCTTTTCCAGTTGCATTCGATGTTGAATTTGTTAACGAATCGCTTTTCTGGCATTTCACACAATTACCGCTGCTTCTGCGTGTTATTTGCTTATTGAACTTATCACTGAACGTTGCCGTCGCCCATAGGTATGCTATATTATCCTGTTCCGGTTCCCGCTGCAAGATCCTGGCGGCATGACTCACCGATCTCATTGGCATTGGCGGCACCGCGAGGGCTGCGGCTGAAACGAAGGCCGGCTGCAGGAAGAGGAGGAGCGTTGCCGTTGCCGGCGGTACAGTGGATATGGGTATGGATATGAGGAGACCACCGATCACAACCACTGTCCACCACCACAATGTGCAGCGGGCCCCCGCGGCGCCACTGGCTGCATGCGTGGGGGCCACAGCGTCGTCCGCCGCCGGCGATCGGATTGTTTACGCCGTGCTATCGTCCGCGAATTTTTCAAATTGCATTCTCAATTATGGAGCATTTACGACTTAATATGTGATGCTTATAATCTGCAAATAGAGGGGGATACAAGAGTGTGTTATTAGGAATGTTTATTTACAATAAATAATATATAAACATGTAAATATTTTATAAGGTTTTATAATGTATAAAAATATTTGATACTTTGACTTAGAAATTTTACATTATTTAAAGCTATTTTAAAGATCGTTCTCAAATCAAAAGGAAATGAAGTAATTCATTTTTTCAACCTACCTATCTGAGATATTATAGTAAATTTAAGGGACAACGTTAAAAACCTGTTCTACTGATTTTTCATTAAAGGCAAACCCTCTCCCACATCATATACATAATTAAGATACATTTCTACTAATTTCTCTCAGTGATTTCTATGCTGTGTGGTCGCCCACTTGGCTCTTGTATGCTTGTTGCTTTCTTTTCTTTTAGCTACATTTGCTTTTGTTTTGTGCAAGTCCGTCCCCGTGGCAAAAAGTATCCATCCACCGACGTCCCACAATGATTTCCCCCCCAAACCCTCACTCCTCCGTCGACAAGAATATATAGTATATGTGTTGTGAGTCATGTGACCAGGGAGAGAGAGAGAGAATCATCGGTGAAAGGTGGGGAGGACCAGGAGGACCAGGAGAACCAGGAGGACCAGGAGGAGACAGTGTCTGAGCATCGCCCTGTGGGCATAAATAACCCCGAGAGCCGCTGTGGCAAGAACAACAATAATATGCTTTGGCATTGTTGTTGCTGTTGCACGCTGCGTATGCGTAATATTTTGCTAAAATTTATGTTGCACTTCTTAGCGACTTGGTTTTTATTATCATGATGATGATGATGATCACGACGACTTCTATATTTAAAGCAGATCAACAGGAACACAAAGAAGGGTGCGAAAAAGACAGCAATGTCTTCGTTATGCACTCCGACATTTTTCCACATTTTCCTCCTTAGAGCAAAGCATACAAATTACAAGCAACTCGTGAAAAATAAGCGATTAAATGAAAACAACAAGAAAATTAATATGACTAGTTAAGGTAGAGAAAGGAAAGAGAGAGAGAGAGAGAGAGAGAGAGAGAGAGAAAGAGAGGGAGAGAAATTGCTGTAGAGAGAGAGAGAGAGGCAGTTAATTGTGTGAGGGAGAAGGAAGTGGGCTATAAAAGGGCAAGGTGGAATGACTTGTTTATTTTGCAATTTTGGTATACAACATAATTCACTAATTGTCTGGAATAATATAATAAAATATACATACATAGAAAAGGCTAATTAAGGGAAAAATAAAGTAAGGATAGGTTAGGTTAAGCTTAGACTTGTCAGGACACGCATTAAGGTGCTGTATAAAGGAGTAGCGGGAATGTCCTCTTTCTGAAAGGGTTTTAAAATATATAAAATATACAGCCTCTTAATTTGCAGCTCCTTTATTTAAGTAAAATTCTTCATTTTCCAAAAATAGTTTGATTAATTTACTAATTTCTAAAGATTAAAGGACCAAGTCTTATCTCTTTTATACAGTTTAATAGACTTTTCAGTCTCGCTCCATTTGGATTACCCTCCTCATTTTTTGGATTTTTATGATAATGCATCCAACAATGTTGCACCCCAATGTGTCAGAGACAGATTGATGCCGCGAAACACAACAACGAGGAATCATCCTCATCAACATCAACATTTTGCATCAGCATCATCCCGATCCCGATCCTCATCTCCAACGTCCCGTCTGTTGTCAGATTCTGTTGTTTGTCCCTTGTCTCCTCAATTCTTTTCTTTTTTTTTTTGTTGGTCTCCTTTATTGAAATTCCTTTCAAGTGTCTGAGGCTATCGTCATCATCCTGCTGCTATAGCTTCGCCATGATCGCCATCATAATCATTAACAACCTTTGCTGTAGTGTTTGTGTTTGATCTGCTTTCGTTGCCCAGACAGACAGACAGAGGAGACAGGGGAGGAGACGGCTAAGGAAACACTCGACTGCAGCTACTGTTTCCCCTTTTTCGGATTCCTCTTGGGCCGTGGCAATTTATTTGATTGCCTCTCCATTCTAGCCCCTCGGAGTTCCCCCTCAGTTCGCCTTAAGTCGAAATTTATGTTTGCCATAAAAACACGATCTGCGACTCCGAGTCATAATTAATAAAAAAATAAGAAAAAAGAATAAGAGCGACCAACGTAAATCCAAAATGCTAAATGCAAAATGCAAAATGCAAAATGCAAAACAAAAACGAGCCCATAAAGTGCTGACAAGTGTTTTCTGCTGTCCAACAGGCAGAACCCAAACAAAAGCCTCGCGTGAGTCAAGATCATTTTGAGACGAAGTTTGTTTAGGCCTTCTTTTTTGTGTTTTTCTGCTGGCACCATCTGGCCTGGGAATGCCAGGCGAATGAAAGGTACGAGTCCGGGATTGCATAAAGAGAAATTACCATACAAAGTCAATTTGGGCTGAAGGAATGTTTGCAAATAAAATAAACTGCCCGTTGCAGCTGAATATAAAAATAAAGGTATTTTTACGGACTGTATGTTGCTATCAAATAAGCACAAAAAATGGTTTTACATATTCTCAATGGTATGGAATAGTTTAAAAGGTGAATTTATATGTTAATAAGCTAAGGAATAATTGCTTAAACAAGTAATTAATGAGCTTGTAATTTTATATTGATATTAAATTGTAGATAGAAGATATAATAAGGAATTTCTTATTTATCAAATGACATGGAACCCGTAGCACTGCCGGTCCGGGTTCGAGTCCCGGTAGTAAGTAGCATGGTCACCCCCGGACCTCCCTTCCATTTTCCATTGAACTTCTCCCCTCACTATTGTAAAAAAGTTGCTATACTACAGTAATTGTACAATAATAAAATTCAGCTCACTAAATAAAGCATTTTAAAAAAAAAAAAATCAAATGACAGTTTTCAAAAGATCAATTTTAAGTGAATAAAATATTAAAGTTTCAAATTAATTCAAAAGGAATTTGATAGATTAATTTTTAACTCTCAAAACACTAATATCTCTTTAATTAATTCCCATAATTTTATTTCGCTCTGTAAATTCAGTGCTTGAATCAATTGAAATTTTAAATGAATAAATAATACAACTGTAAGGGAATTTATTTTTAACTCTAAAAACACTGTTAATATCAACCAGAATCAGGAATTTAGAATATCTTTCAACTCTATTTTCGAATAAATTCCAATAGCTTCATTCTCCACTTAAAAATCCAGTGATTGAATCATTTGAAAATTTGTAATCACCATACCAAAAGCCACTAAACTCTCTAAAAGTCATAAAATAGCATCATTTAGCAATAAAAATAACAATATCAATATGCAACAACAATAATAACAATAATAACAAGAACAACAACCGGCGGATAGCTCTCAACATAAGCATTTTCATCTAATTCAAACACATTCCAGTTTATTTTTAAACAAAACGCTAAATTCTTGTATTTATTTTCGTGCCGGCCAACAAAAAAGAATCGAAAGCATTTATTTTCAATTTCCACAGAGTGCTTAGAGGGGGTATTGGCGAGAGGGGGAAAAGCGGGAAAACCCAGGAATTTGCATGTAATCGACAGCCGGCGCTGTTATCGATAAAAGCACCCGAAAAAAACACTCGAGCATTGGCATTTGCATTTCCCAGATAAGCGTGTGAGTGTGTGTGTGTGTGTGTGATACATGTGGACATACCAGAAAGTCGAACGCTCGATTTGACATTGAGCAAACGTAAATTCAAAGAATTCCTCCGGCCCAGGAAAAATGTATTTTCTTTTTGCTTCAATTTTCTTTCACCCAAAAACGTAGTGAAGTGTCCTCCGATCGCGTCACAATTCTACCAATTCACGCACGACTCGCGACCCGCGTGTCACGCCGAAAATATCGAGCACACTAATCGAGGAATTTCACACATGACAACCAAGTATTTGCGCTGCATCTCTCTTTCACTCTCTCTCCCAAATCACTTTCGCATCTTTTGCTTATTTATTATTATTTATATTTTATGTTATTTCTCATAATTATTGGTAGGTTTTTCTTTTCGTACTAGAGAAAAAAATGTGAAAAAAATGTAAGACACTGCGGAGAGCCATTGATTAACTGTTAACTACTGTTGATTGTCGGTAATTCCCGTTACCATTCGTCACATATATATGTACATATATATTCATATGGAATATATAGCTATATAACGATCCGATCTAGCCGCCAACCTGCGCCGCACTGAACTAAATGCGAATTTTTTTTGCCAATATCGCAGCTAACATAAAAATTGCCCGTTTGTCTCCAATATTTCACACATTTCGCACACTCTCAGACTCCGAGGCCCGGCGGCGTCTTCATCGTCGTCGTCGTCGTCGTCTATATAGACGATATATATCCCTACACTTGTCTGGGATATAGACGGGGGTCTGGCGACAGGCGTGCCTTTTATTTTTACCGCTCACAAGACACACGCAAAATACAAAAGAAACAAATCAGAAGTCAAGAAAATAGCAAAATTATTTTTGTACTTAAAAATAAATTGAAAAGCATTTTCTTCATCTGTTTTTGCAACAACGGCCACATGAAAATCAAGCGTGAAAAGTGCCCTCACTGCACGTCTCCACTCTCCGAATTTTCCTGCACTTTCCCTCGGCACTTTCGCAATGTCTCCACTCTCCAAATCTTCAATCTCCGAAGGGCTGCCTCTTCCGAGGATCGAGAGCGCCTCGTCTCTGTCTCTGTGTCTCCGTCTCCGTCTGTCCGCCTGTCTGGCCCTCTGCTCATTATTTTCTTTCGCCATCCTCTTCGGGAGAGATGCGAACATAACAAGCGGATCCAAAAATATACCCCATCAGTGGGGTAGAGCAGGATGAACAACACACAGCCCAAAACACACAAGCAGCAGCATAATTTTTATTCAAATAGAGAATAAGAATGTTGCGG